AATATTTTTTATGCTCCATATTGATTTATTGCAGGTACAATCTTATTGGAGTCTTACAGTGTTATTCACAAAAGATATCAATATAAATAATGAACCTCCTTAGCTATGGTATCTAAATTATTTAATTTCTATTTTTTCCGTACTCATTACTTAAATTAAATTTTCTTATTTCTCCTTAAAATTTATTTCATATTGGATTAAATTTACCTTAAATGGTTCTTTCTTTCATCAGCTTAATAGTGACGGAAACTACTGGGTGTATCTTCTAATTCTGGCGGTATGCTATTGGATATTGTCATGGTTTATGTTTTAAGGTAATTTCTTCTGCTTAAAACTGCTGAGAGTTTTCATAATATATGAAGAAGTGCATGTTTTAGTGTTAAATACGAGCACTGTAATATGGCCATTGTTTATAGGTCCAAGAATCTGTTAGGTAATTGATTAGCTCCACCTTTTGTTTCTATAAGATTCGGAAGCTGGATCTTTTTGGTGTATTCACTCATTTGGGGTTTTGCTTAATTATTTCGCATATCTGTCTTTTGGATCTGGGGTTCTCTATGTTTTTGTTGTTTTTCTATGTGTGATAGGATTGGATCATTTGAACGAGAAATTATGAAAACCGTTATTGCTGAATTGTACTTTTTTGTTGAATGTGAACTGTTTACATGAAAGTATGGGGAATTAGATTTAAGATTGAATTGGTTTTTATGGAGCAATGCTTATGTGGTTTTGCCATTTGTTGTGTCTCTCTGTTTTGCTTACATTTTTGAAATCTTCTGTTCATTCCTTTATTTAGGAGACAATAAAATTTCATGCTTGGCACTATACACCTATGACTTCCATTAGCTGTTCTTTTTTTTTATCCCCTTTTCTTTTCTTCCTTTCTTTTTTTATTTTTTGTTGTTGCCTACTCAGGGGTTTATTTAGTTACTTGCGTGTGATTTTTCTTGACCTTCTTGGTGCAGTAGTACAGATTAAAATTTTTGCCTGGCATTATTTGTGTTCAGAGTGATAATGAAATAATTATAACAAATCGTGATACATAGCATTTTTTTTTATTAAGTGAGCATTTTTTTGATTAAGTGTGCATTTTGTGTTAGTTTGATGAAGTTGATTCGGTTTAGTAATGGGGGTCTGAAAGTTGTTGAAATTTGCGGAAATGAAGACTTTTAGCGCGTTAAAATTATTTTCGGGAGTTCATCATTACAATGGCAACAGTGTAGACTTGGGAACAACATGTGGAAAATACTACAGAGTATGCTGCCTTAGCATTATTGATCTAGGTGACTCTGATATCATTAAGAGCATGCCTAGTGAACATTGAGTATCCCATGATCTGCATCATGTCTTAGATTTTGGTCAGTCCTTGCCTCTTTTTCATTTTTTTCTGTTGGGAAGTGAGAAATAGCTAGTGAACTAAGCTTCCAATGTTTGAAAGGTTCAAGATTATGATATTGGACGCTCCTTTTATGGTACTTCTTGATTGTTCTATGGTGACTTTAAATTTTAACTTTTAGGATGTACCGTATCCCATTTTATGGACTTGAACTTTAATTTTATTATTGTTCTCTAATAAAAAAAACATGTGCGAAATTCAGATGTTCAGGGAAAAAAATAGTAGGATTGTCATAGTTAGAAAACATCACAGATGTGCATTAACAGAAGTTCACTATTGTGCGGTCTTTGTTCGTTTCACTGTTTTGAAGGTGATGCAGCAGTGGTGTTCAAGGAATTTGTTACTGGTTATGATGACGATTTGACGTGCAGATGTCTTTAAGCTTCTATGGTCGAGAGGCCCACTGTTTTCCTAGTAGCTGCAATTTTCTATTCAACCTTGCAAAGTGGTGGTGTGTGTAACCTTCTTTTCCCCTATGTTGCTTTCTTGTTTCATTTTTTGAGGTATGATGTACCTTAGGACTTTATTAGGCTCAAATTTTTCCTTTTTTTTTCTTGGGTGTGTTTTGATGGGCTGCTAGTTGGTTTTAGTTTTGTTGTTGTTTAGTGACATTTGTGCTTTTTGAAAGAAATTGTTTTTTAAAGAAAAAAGACCACTATATGTCTGAAGAAAACAAAACAAAGCTATCTTTCTATAAATTTGATTAAAATATCTGCAATAAATTTAGAAGCATAACACGCTCATCCCTCAACTAGTAACTATAGAATATTAGAATGCAGAGTGTTTATTGTAGCTGCTCTAACATTCTTACTATTTAAAGTTTTTGTTTATCTATTTTGTTGTCTTCTGTGCACTTTCCCCCCTCCCCTGAAGCATAAGTTTTTCATTCTCTGCATGTTTTTCGCTTTTTTCTCTTCTTTTGTGTTATTCTCTCTCACCTTTTTGCTATTTAGAATCGCCATCAACTTGATTGATGAGGTTGACGTCTACGCTTTGGTGGCGAACTCTGAAAGCAGATTTGAAAGGAATGATCTGCGATATTTTATTAATGTGGCAGAAAATACAGTTAAATAGGCAACAAAGAATAACAGAATAAAGAAAACCTCCCTAATAATGTGGCTTATTTGCTGTTACAATCAAATCATATTTTATTGACTAAAACCTAATCCTAAACAACCGGATAATCAATAAGGAAGATTTGAATATTTCAAATTAATTCAAAATATTTTAGATTGATTTAATCCAGTAAAATCCGATTAAATCAATTTGATTTGATCCGCCGACACTCCCCATCAAGCTTGGACGTAGATGTCTCTGAGTCCGAGCTTGCTTGCTAATGCTTCAAATGCTGGTCCGTGCAGTCCTTTTGTGAGAATATCAGCCACTTGTTACTTCGTAGGGAATATATCCCACACTGATTATTCTACTCAATTTTCTCTGTGATGAAATGCCTGTCCACCTCCACGTGTTTAGTTCTGTCGTGATGAACCGGATTATGTGCTATGCTGATTGTAGCTTTGTTGTCGTAATAGAGCTGCATAGGGAGCTCACAATCAATTCTTAGTTCTTCCAGTAGTCAGTTTATCCAGATTGCCTCACAAATTCCATGTGCCATAGCCCTATATTCAGCCTCGGCACTGCGCCTTGCAACTACACCCTGTTTTTTGCTACGCCAAGTAGGGCCGGCAATTTTGGACACGACACGATGAAACGTCACGAGATAAATGGGTTTAGACCGCATGATTATTAATTGGGTCGTTAACGGGCTGACACGAATAACACGAAAATAAACGGGTTGGATTCGTGCCAGCCCGTTTAACACGCTTAACCCATTTGGTTATACGGGCCATAATCGGGCCGACACGACACGACCCGAACCGACCTGTTTATTAATCCATATATATATATTTATATATATTTTTAAGATAAAACCCTAGCTTCTCTAATTCTCTTTCTCTCATTCTCTCATTCTCTCTCATTCTCTCACAGCCCTTTTTATTTATATTCTCTCATTTACATGTAGGGTGTTTGATAAAAGGGTTAACTTAATTTAACACTCTAACTTTTAAATAAGTTATGGTATGTTGATAAAATTACAAAATGTCAATGGACTTGTAGATGGACTTGTAGATGATTGATTACAAAATGCCAATGGATGATTTGTAATGGATAAACCTAAACTTTAAATATGTTTTATGCTTTATGCACCTAAATATACCAATGGACTTGTAGATGGTTGATTATGTTTTATGCACTTAAATTTTCAAATATTTGGTTATATTTTCAAACTTATTTAAATGTACTTGGTTATGTTTTTAAACTTCTTTAGATGTTTAGTAATTGGTATGTTTTGAAACATATGTCATAAGTGATGTTTTAGATATTTTAATGTGTGTTGGCTATAATGCATGAATTTAACTATAAGTGATATTAAGTAGTCAATTAATATAGTTTTGAATACAATATAAAATTCACTATTTTTGCTAGTTGGGTCATAAACGGGTCATAAACGTGTTTTTTTCGTGTCGGCCCGTCACGGCACGTTTAATAATCGTGTTCGCGTGTCGTGTCGTGTTAACCGTGTTATTAGCGTGTCGTGTTCGTGTTTGGATTTC